ACGTTTAGAGTTTTAATCCATCGGGTATGCTATACAGTACTATATACCAAAATATAATGTTGAGCCGTTAAAATACTGAGAAAAAAAATCATGTTTTAATAGTCAAAATAAAGTATCAATAACATGGTGTATAGGGTGAGGGGTGATTTGAAAAGCTTGTTTTATATTATTTAAGGTTTTATGTAATGGGTGTATTGACATATAATAATAAAAAAAAAAAAGACTGATCTGTTTCTTATAAACTATACTGATGATTTAATCTCTTTCTTTATTAGAGATGGAGTTGAATTTACATTTTAATATTGGCATATCTTGTATATATATTGTAGAGTGGAAATCCTTTTTATTATTATTATTATTTTACAACATGTCATTTGGTGTTTAAAGATTGTAATTGAACATTCATACCCTTCTATGGCTGGAATGTTTGACCAAGTTTGACAAACATGTCATTTGGTGATTGAAGATTGTAATTGAAAAATAAATTTGAGAAAAAACTGGAAAAAAAAAAAGGTATTGTAAACTACTACGGTATTTTATCTGGATAATTTTAGCATATTTAGTAATATTTCTCGGTACGAAATGGATTGAGAATTTAGGTAACTCGTAAATTAATAAATAATGTTTTGGGGAGTAGCTATCGTCACAATCCCTCTCTCTCTTGCCATAACCTTGTTAACTCCTTTTTTTTAAATGACTAAAGTGTCATTATATTTTTTTTATACTATTTTTTCACTAATTTCAATTAATTAAAAATCAATTCACTCGGCCCAGTTAATCAAAACTCATTACCGAAGTGAGAAACAGAAAAAAAAAAAAAAAGGAGAAACAATCTCAACTTTGAATTTGAAATCATAAAAGATGAGCAGCGACCTATTTAAGATCCTTCATCTCTAATAAGAGAATCCTAATCGAACACTACAAAACAGCAATAGCACGGCAAAGCAAACCCGCCACGTAAACCACAACTCCCCTTGACCTCGAACATCACATCACCACCACCACTCATCACAGCCACCGCTCCTTTCTCAACCTTTTAAAATCAATCAACATGCAATTCACTCAACCACTTCAACAAGAAATTCACATTAAAGATTCTTGAAAAGAATTATCCAACAGTGAAGAAGGGAAAGGGAGAGAAAGAAATCCAATAGTGTTTTTAATTAAAATTTAATAAAAAAATTATGCAACAGCGAGATCAACGAGCATCAATCGGTATTCAATTATTTTTGGGTGCATTTTGAATTTTGGGTGGTGGTGGTGGTGGTGGTGCTGCCATGGTTGGTAATAATGGTAGTAAAAAAAAGTAGTAATTAAAGAGATGGGCCATTGAAAATCCGGGTATCAATCAAGTTGTTGATATAAATTGCTAGCATTATGACCGAAATCATCATCTACTTCTCTCTTCTTCTTTTTTGTCTTTAATTTAGTTAAGGATTCTAGGTATTTGAGACTCTAATAAATGGCTGTGGAAGAAGAAAAAGGACACGTGCTTCTCAATGGAGAGGAAAAGAAGAAAAGAGAGGATTGTTCAGTCATTTAAATGGATAGCTAAAAATAAAAATTTAATATTTTAGTTTTTTTTTGTTTTTTATATTCTAAAAAAAAGTTGGATGGAATGTTAAAATATTTTTTTTCTACAAATGTTATTTTTATATATTTTTAAAATAATCAAATCTAATAAAGTAGGCCTAAACTAATAAAATTTAGTCATGTGAAAAAAAATAATATTAAAATTATTAAAAAAATAAAACACATATTTATTCCATTTTAATAGAATTAACTTTTTAAATAGTTTTTGTTCATTAGAATATATATGATAAAAAAGTTATATTTATACTATTTAAAATACTATTTTATCAATTTATTTTTTTAAAATAATATGTTTTATTAGAGATGCTCTACCTGTTAATAGCCATTTCCTTCTATAAATGGGTGGAAACTAGCTATAGTTTATTTTTATTTATTTATTTATTTATTTTAAAAAAAGAGATGCAGATTTGGATATTTTGATAACAATAACAAATGAAGACATATTTTGATATTTTGATATGCTACACATCCTTAACAAAGCAATATTTTGATATGCTACACATCCTTGGAAGTAATTAGAAATGCGAATCGGATTGTTCAAGTCACAACGGTAGCTTAGCATAGCATGGAGTTCCTTGTCTCAAAATGAAGACCTAGACAACAAAAGATTGCTTGGATTCTAAGAAAATTTATGTGATACTGGTTATAGACGTGAAGTTGTCTGATCATTCCCATCATAGAAGCGGGCAATAAGTTGCAGTTGGCTACAATTGCAGCAGAAACATGAATATCTCAGGTTACAGCTCAGCCTCCTTGGACGTCCAGTGGATAGATGATGATGCTGTTACATTTCAACATTATCAACAGGAGAAAGAGAAGACTGTAGTTTTGCGCTGGAATCTGTGATAATTAAAGCGATGCGTTTAATTTATTACCAAGACCTATCTTAGTTTGGGTTTTTTTTTTTTTATTATTAATTTTTCATCTAGTTGCAGCATAGTGTTGAACATCTAAATGATTAGACTATATTTGATGTTGTGATAATTGTTATAGTTATAGTTTTTTATAAAAAATATTTTTAATTAAGATTGGTTTGAAAAAATAGATATTTGGTTAAAATTATAATTGAAATTGAGGTTAAATAAAAAGTAATTTAATATGTTTGGTTAAGAATGTTTTTGAAATTGAGGTTATAAAATAATTTAATATATATATATATATATATATTAATGGTTTTTAATTTAAATATTGTAGAGTTAACTATTGCTATTGCATCATAAAATAAACAATACTTTGTATAAAATATTTTTTATTATTCCATTAAACCATTTACAATTCCATTACATACAAAATTCATGCAACAAGAACTACAGTTTCTATAATTTTTTGAGTGTATAATAAAATTAGATAAAATATTATCAAGAATAAAATTAATTTAATATTATAATGTGACTGAATTTAATTCACTCTACACTAGTTTTTTGAGGAAAAAAATTGTTTGACAATGCGAGTAAATTTAATTCACTCTAAACTAATTTTTTTTTAATGTATAAAAAATAAACACACTAAAAAAAAAAATCGCGCAAACAATGCAAGGGAATTGCTCTATTTATTGTTTTAACTGAACAATGCAATTCACTTGCACTTTCACTGAAACTCTGATTAACAAAAAACAGTTATGAGTTGTCTCACCAAAATTACGTGCAAAACATGAATTATCATGGGCCCATCAAAAATAAATTGTGATTTTTACGTAATTAAACATAATATTTACTATAGTTGCTTCAAACACAGAAACAACCACCTAAATAAACAGATTCTTAGCTTGGTGTTGTACCTTTTTTATTTTATATATATATATATTTTTTTTTTTCTTAGCCTGGTGGTTGGCTCAGTTCAAGATTTAGGTTATAAGTTTTGATTAGGTTATTGAATTATTTTGAGCTAATTTTTATTTAAAAAAAAACAATATTATTTTTATTAAAAAATAAATAGTTAATAAATTACAATTGAATTTTTAATTAGGTTATTCAAGTTTGTTTTTTTTTTTTTTAACTCAGCTTGTTTCTAATCTCAGGCTCATCAAATTCTAGATTAACACGTAACTGAATTTTACAATTATGATTTGAAGCATCAACATCACACGCATGCATACACGCCAATGCTAGGTGATTAGTGTTCGATAGTTCTTCATAACTATTCCATAAATGTTAGCGATCTCTCCAGTATATAAGGATTTGATGTCAAAGAAAGGAGGTGAGGCCGTGAAGTTAATACATGGCGATTCAGTAAATATTAATGGAGGGCATGTATCCACTTACGTTCGCTTGGCGAGTTAGCTGGAGAATTAACACCGCCGAATTTATGCACCCAGCAAAGTATCAAACCGGATGAAGAAAAACTAAATGGGAGGGTGCCACAGAAGATCGTCTGATAGCATGTATTAAGTCAATTTGGTGGAGGGAATAAATAGCAGCAGGCCTCTGTTTTTAATGTCATGGCAGGTACGAATGAAGAGAATTTAATGGAGCTGGCTTGGTATAATTATATTTCACCAAAAAATAATATAACAAACACCGTCGGCATAATTAATTTAATCCAATCTACATTGCTAGTTAATGCAAGCATCATCAGCAAGATATGAGCTAAAGTGCTCAGGCGACCTTCCTAGATAATTTTATTCCCAACAAAATTTCATTATTAGGAGAATTAAAATCTAGAGCTTTCATGGTTTCCCACTTTATTATATGGTTGGCTCCCCTCCCAATTCCTTTGTGATGTCTTCAAATACGGGCACAATATCTTTTTAAATATCTTACTATCCATGTAAAATTAAGCACTTGCCAGGGTGAATTAAAAAAAAACCAGGGTGAATTAAAAAAAAACATTTTCTCTTATTTGTAAAAGCTATCATAATAATTAGTTGTAATTAAATTATTTTTTGATTTAAAAGTGTAAGCCATCAGAGTTCACATTTCATGCCATATTATGAGAAGTAAATTATTATACATCCTCTCGTTATTTTAATTAGAAAACGCAAGCATGACAAATATATTTTCTATTTTATTATAAAAAACAGTTGCAAGAAAATCAAAATTACTTTATTTTCACAGTTTTTTACTTAATTATAAAATTAATTATAATATCTGCTGGTCTTACTTAATCTTCCTTGGATCATTTAAGCCCCGAGATCAAAACCCTTGAAACATTTGAACGGTTTTTTACCCTTAAATTAAATGGCTAGAGTCTAATTTTTATTTATTCTTTTTTCTTTTTTTTTTGGGGTGGAAGGCGTCAGTGGACGCAGTCAATGGTGCGGTCTCGAGTGAATTTTCTGAAATGCACGGACCAAATCTTATTTAAGATCTATTGAATTTTATCTACAGGAAGCTTGGCTTTAACTCTAGCGAAGCTGATATGGCATATAAATGATCCAAAATCATGGCAGAGCCGTCAAGCTTGAGTCCTTCTAATTTATTAGAGAATTGAAGAAGGATGGAAAAGGTTGTGGGAATCAAACAACTCCGTGCATCTAAACACGAAGTACGCCCAGTAATCTCTCTCACCTTTTTCATGAAAGTCTCACTTTCCCGAATTTTAACATTTTTCACAGCATAAAACTTGCAGCACGAATAACAAATTGATGTTTTTGCAGAAAAACTATCCTGCGGTGCCACAATGGGTTGTTATTATGTACAACACCGTCTTCTTCAGGGCATGCATCACTCATCCAGACTCAAAAATGGATCGTTTCTGTGCTGATTGCTACTCTTCTTTGTGCTCAAATTGTCTTCCAGCTCATGCTCGCCATAAGCACGTCAAGGTCCATGATCTTTCTTAACCTCATCAATCTCATCTTCTTACTGGTTAATTTGCCCAGTTGAAATGGCATTATACATTTATGTGCGGAACTTGAACATTCTCTGTTCTATACATGTTTTCCATGGTGCTGTAGATTCGAAGATATATCTATAGCGATGTAATCAATCGCCAAGACTTGTCCAAGCTCTTCAACTGCTCTGGCATACAGGTTTCCTCATTGTTAATTTACTTGCTGTCCTCAAATTTTATATAGGTTTAGAAAATAACGGCCCCAATTTTACCCGGCTGGTTTTGCAAAGTTTGAATTTTTATTTTTTTTTATCATTTTAAGGTGTTGATGTTAAAAAATAATTTTCAAAAATAAAAAATTATTTTGAAATAATAATTATTTTGAAAAATTAAAAATTAATTTTTGAAACAAGACTCGTTAATTTAATTCTCCAGATTAGAGGAACTAATTATAACTCACTCCATATTAATAAATCATGCGATCACTAAGCAAATGTTAGATAGTTAATATATATAATATTATTATTGATATTAAATCCTTAGATTGAGTGATTTTTTTATATGAAATGGGGATTTTTTTAATGGAGTGGTCACAATCAAACTCTTGAATTCGAAAGTAATTTTGAAATAAATTCAGACACACATAATTAATTTATCTTGTTTTGCTTTGTTCACAGACTTATGTTACAAATAAAGCTAGAGTGCTATTCTTGAAGCAAAGGAACCATTATCATCGTCACCAACAGCAGCAAATTAATTTCAAGGACTATAGATGCATCATCTGTCACAGAAGTATGCAAGATAATAATTCACACTATTGCAGTATTGAATGCAAGGTGCACCGCACCCTCTGTTTCCATGTATACTCTCTCCTTGATTTATATAAAAATAATTAATAATTTCAAGTATATATATATATATATATATATAAAACTCCCAGGGGTGCTTTCAGTGTAATTATTTCTTTTATTAATAATTCTCAGGTTACGGCCATTTATGGAGGCGAGTGCAGGAAAGATGAATACCGAATTCAACATCTCAAAAGGCGGAAATTAAAGCAATCGAGGAAGGGATTTCCGCTAAGAGCCCCAATGTTCTAACGTACCCCGGGGAATTAATTAATATGTATTATACTATACTGCGTGATTATGTAAAATTCATAGTATAAGATTGTAATTATTCTTGTATCTTTTACACCCCGAGGGAGAAAAAATGCTTGATTGTTTGTATTTGTTTATTAATTAGTCTCTAGAGTTTAAAGTTTTAACCTAGTAAAATAAAACTTAACTTTACAGCAAATACTTAGATAAGATTGCCTTGATTGTTTTGAAGTCGTCTTTCATAAAATTTTATTTTATTTTAAATTTGTTTTATTTTATTTTATTTGATTATTATTTAAATGTGTTAAATAAAAAATATTTTTAAAAAAGAAATACTATTTTTATGTAACATTGTTAAGGTATTATATTTGCTTTGAGTAGTTTTTTTTTTTTTGGCTGAGTGGATGTTGAGAAGGTGAGGCTGAATTCTTGGAATTGTGGAGTGGGTTCGCGTGAGAGGGTGTTTAATGTTTTTACTGGTCATTAAGTTATGAAAGTATATTGTATTTTAGTCCTTTCTATGGAAATAAATTATCTAGCCCCTTGAGGTTCAATAACTACAAATTAATCCTCGTGCTTTCACATCCATTTATAACTAGTCCCCGAGAACCCTTGGTTACCACAATGTACTAGTTTTCATTCCCTAAATACCCTTATTTTCCTATCAAAATTTCTTATTTTCTCACCATGACATCAACAAAATCATTACTGGTTTTGCTAATATTCCAGAAAATCCATTATTAAGAACCTATAAAATCCAGGGACAATTCCAAACCATTCTTATCTGTGATGAAGTCCTGATTGCATCTCATGAGTCCAGTTGGGTGCCTTATTAGGGCTATACTAGACAATTCAACTGTGTTCCGCCGTCGATTGGATTTCAACTGAACTTTAATACAAGAAAAAGTTTATTTTTTCTAGTTTATTGTAACCATTTTTTAAAATTGATTCATTTAATGTCGTTGTTTTTTATTATTTAATTAAAATAAAATCAATATATTTCATTCAATAATTCTACAACCTCATTCTTGATTTTTTTATAATATATTTATGAAACTAAATATTATTTGTTAATAAAAAAAATAGCAAACATTTGCAGTTTCATGAATTCGATAATATCTGGTTAGTTCTTGTGGTATAACATATTTTTAATAAAATTTAATTTTTTAATATTTTTGAATTGCTTTGATTTAATAATATTAAAATTATTTTCTTTTTAATAATCTTTAACATTCTCTTTACCCAAGGACTCCTTCACATTTACGAGTCTTTACATGGAAGTTTTGACCTGTTGGACTTGAGATCTGTGAAACTGTTGTCGGGCTCGGACTGCTTACTTGTCCTCGTTTTTTCTTTTCTATTACCTGTGATCACTACCATATATCTTTTCCTTTTTCTTGCCTTTGAATCTAAAATAGATAACAATAATTAGAAGAGAAATCCTATCTTCTTTCGCTGAACTCAACATTCAAAATCAATGGGTTCTGAAGGTTCAAGCGTTGTTGGTAAGCTCACTATTTTAAGAACCAAAAAAATCCCAAATTTCCTTGTTAGATTAAGATTGTGTTCTTCTTTTTAGCATGTTGGCATCCTGGTTTTTTGTGTTTCTTTGCACTTTTCAGTGTTGGTAGAGTCTTTTCTTTGGATTTTGCTTTGAGGTTTACAATTGGTTAGGATTTTTGAGTTATGTTTGAAGATGATCTGTTTCTGAGTTAAAATTCAAGATGATCTGTTGTTTCTCTTAGAGTTTCTTATAAGGCTTTCCTAATTGGTGTGCTGGACTAGTTTGAGATTTACTGTTTTCTTGCCAATTAGTTTTCTTTCACTGTATCTATATCCTCCTCTGATCACTCAGCATATAGAAATTCTCTTGAAGTTAGTTTTCTGCCTTCGAAGGTTATTTTCTCCACTCCTTTACGTGATAGAATATGAATGTAATGAAATGCAACGTGGAATGTAGAATGTACTGTTATAGAGGGAGCAAATGCCTAAAACAAGCAGGCTCCTTCACTTGAGTTAGTTGTGCATTTTGAGATTTTACTAATCATGACCAAAGGCAAGCTTTCCATCTCTTTGGTTTGCAATTAGAGAGTAATTTTAAAATGGGGTGCAATTTGTATGCAATGGAAGAGGTTAGAAGATGGTATAAGTAGGTTGAATTGAAAGAGATCTGATTTAGGAGGCCCAGAAACAGTTCTATTCTTTTTGCTGATTTGCGCAATGATGCAAATGTCCCTGGAGTGGAAAAATGAAACCCTGCTTATGTGTAGTGAATCAAGCTAGCTTCACGATCAAAAATAGTATTGATGAAATACATCATATTTTTGCCCCATCATTTTCCTTGCATGTCAGCAAATCCTTGTCAGTAACAACTTTCTCTCTGTCTGGTCTTAGTGCTTTTCCCATGTAGCAAGGTTTATTTAGGCTGGTGTAGGGTGGAAGTGGGATTTCCTTTTCTCTTTGATGATTTCTAGAATGCATGCATGCATGATTACTATTTTGTAACTGAATAGTAGTGTCCTCTGCAGTGCCGAGGAACTTCAGACTACTGGAGGAGCTTGAGAGAGGGGAAAAGGGGATCGGAGATGGAACTGTCAGTTATGGAATGGATGACGCTGATGATATCTTCATGCAGTCATGGACAGGAACTATAATTGGCCCCCCCAATGTATGTCAATGTTTTTTTTGTTCTTTACATTCTCTCTTTCATTGTGTGCATTCATGTTGTATGCATGCTGAATTGACAATTGATGATCTGATTTTGGGAATGTGCTTGGTTTACATACAAAGTGGTTGATTATGATCCAAGATGACACTTGTGTTTTTATATATAGATTCATCTATCAAAAAGTTACTATATGAGTTCAACCCTTTTGTGCTTTTCCATAAAATCTTGCTTATCGATTAAACATTCCTACTATAGGATACCAATTTTAATTGACTGTCAAACCAACTTTCTCAGGTTTGAACATCTGTGTGAGCAAGACTAACAATTTTCCAAGAATAATTTATCCTTCTTATACTATCATGCCATCGGTTCGTCCATATATAAACCTTTAGTACTCGTGAAAATCAACATTTATGAATCTTTTTTCCATGAAAAAGGCATGATGTCATTTCAACTATTAGAATTTCCTTGACTTCACAGCAATTATTAGAATTTCCTTGACTTCATAGCAAGCCAGTTACTTGTATTTTTCCTCTAGAATCAACAGTCACCCTTTGCCTTTTCAGAACTGATGTTATTTGATCTGTTTAAGTATCTTTTATCTCTTCCTCTTCCTGCAGCTCTCATTATAAAATTTTTCACAACATTGTTAAACCGTGGTGTCATTGAATGCTCTCAACCAGAAGTATAATGTCCGTGTAACTCATTAGTAATCTAGTTGCCTTTGCATGCAGTTCAGACTGTTTTGAAATCTTCAAGGTTATCCCTTTGTTTGCAGGTTAAAACTTTTAAAACCATTTTTCTTTTATTTCTTTGTATGCATTAGATTGTTATTGGAAAACTTATTTATCAAAAATAATTTTTAAAAAAAAAAGATTGTCATTGCAAAACTTATGTTGTCAAGTCTTCTATAATGAATAAGCTTTGATGTCATCTTGGCTTGCCATCTGCAGAGATTTATTCTAAAAGAAAATTACAGTTGATCGCCCATGCTATGATGTACCAAAGAATTTCAAATCATAAAACTTGGAAATTAGGAGAGTATAGGGCAAGGGTAAAATAGAATCGTTGGAAAAGCAGGGAACGGGAAACCAATTCTATATAAAGATAGCTAAGACCTTTCAACTAAATCTAAATGTTTATGCTTCCAAAGACTTAAAATATCTACTGCATGATACTAATATAATTTAAATTAAATACTTAAAGATACAGAACTCCAGCCCGCAAACCCCCCAATTTCTGTAGGTTGGCTCCTATTCCAGGGCATTTGATGGTAGCATCCTATCATGGTGGATAAAGTTGTAATGAGAATGGGCTTGCAATGGTTATGGGATTTTTAACACCACCCACCACTCACCCATTCATATACTTAAAAAAGAGCCTCCATGGTCAGCCCCTTGCTTGCTTATGCTGGGAATAAGCACATCATAGAAAATATGTAATCATCTAGGTGGGGTGGCAGGATCTCCTTTAAACTTGCCCCTGCATTGAATCTGAGCCAAATTAAATATCTTATCCAAGTGCCCAGATGGTCCTCACCTGCAGCATTGCCAAGACCATCCTTGTGGTGGCAGTGGAGGTCCTGATTCCTGACTAATGGGGTGAATTTCCATCCCTAGTTTTATGTGCAATGCAAACAACCTGATGACTCTGGTGGCCTGGCATGATAATCATTACCATCTATTCCTTGATCCTTGAATGACGAAACATGATTCTTCAAAGTAATTTTGTATGCTTTATATCATTTTTCAAAAGGAATAATAATGTATTGACTCATACTACTTGCCAGACTGTTCATGAGGGGCGTATCTATCAGTTAAAATTGTTTTGTGGCAAGGATTATCCCGATAATCCACCAAGTGTCAGGTTCCAAACTCGGATAAACATGACCTGCGTCAATCCTGAAAGTGGAGTGGTAGGTGATGTAATGCTGAGTTCTTCTACATCAATTGATTGGAAATAATCTCATTATTGACTAAATTAACAGGTTGAGCCCAGTCTTTTCCCTATGCTTGCTAATTGGCAGAGGGAGCATACAATGGAGGATATATTAACTCAGTTGAAGAAAGAAATGATGGCTTCACAGAACAGGAAGCTCGCTCAGCCTCCTGAAGGTGTGTCAATTTTGCTTCTGCATGTTGTTGGTATATCATTTCTATTTGGTATTGATTTTCTTGGCAAGTAAGACTTGATGAAATTAGCAACTCTTATTTATCTGGGGAGGGTGGGGAGTGGTAAAAAACAATGGAATGTGCTGTTTCAGAAGGGAAAGATACAGACACCACCAGTACAAAACCAAGGCAAAAACAAATATGAAGTGGAGATCATTAAATAATTGTTAGCCAATCAGGGGCGTGGGGTTGATTGCAGCTCAAAATGGCTGAAATCATTCGAGTTAATTGGATTTTGTTAGCAGTTATTATTTGATGGAGTGAAATCTGATGTGAAATGAAGCCTTAGCACTGGTGCCGAGTCAGGATGGTTAGATGTGGAATCACTAGCAACTGAATGACGGCGTCTTGCTAACAATGTGATTGCTTACAATATGTATGTGTTCTGTGAAATTCACTAGAAATACATGGTGATAATATAAGTTGTATGTGCAGGAAACGAGGAGGCAAGGTTGGATCAAAAGGGGCTAGTTTTTAAGTGTTGTATTCTCTAATTCATTTAAAAGTTAATGGCCAAGTACTGTATATAGATGCATGCCCTATTCCTCCTGCAGGCTTAGTTCAAGCAAATGTATAATCTCGTGTACGAGAAAGATGACTTTAGTTCCCTCAAACGGCGGCTAAATAAATGGTTCCTGATGAATCATTCGCACCTTGACTGCTTGATGTGATGTTGTGTGAAAACTAATACCAGAGAAAGACTGCCTTTTTCTTTTTCTCCCTAAACACGCATATTTATTGAACATCTTCATGGCCAGATTGTTTTCACAAACGAAGCCAGTTTTGCCGCCACTTTAATCTCTACACTGCGAAATACAATTGCGTGTTGCTTATTTTTTTTATATTTTGATTTGGCAGACAACTGCTTTTGTTCAGAAAATATGCCTCCAGCAAGATAAGGGCACCGTCAGCGTGATAGTGCCCCCTAGGTTGTGAACTGGGGGTGCTTGTGTTAGAAGCGTGATCCATGTCATTCATTAGCCACGCTGAGAAGCATACGCATCCAAGAAAAGCAAATCCTGTTTTGCAGTTGCAGTTCACAATGTGGTGTGTGTTTGGCCGAAAAGGCATCAAGGTTTTTTTCCCATTAAGGTCGGGGCAACCAGAGAATAATCCAAATCACTTCTCAAGTATAATTGATAGATACTTTCATGATCTACCTTGGAGAATTTGATGGGTACTTTTAGAAAGAGAGAAAAAAATGAGAGAGGATTGGGATATATTGTTGGGTTTCTATGGAGATGAGGAATGAGATGATCTTCAACCCCAGCCTTGCAGATCCTCTCACCATCGTAGAGGCATCAACCATTGTTTCATGGAAATAAAACCAGTTTGAGAGCAGTAGCCCCCCCTAGGATGTAGCTGCCAGCTCGTGTCCAGGTATAGTAGTTAGCAGCCATCTAAAGAAGGACCGGTTAAGTTGAATACCGATGGCGCGAGCAAAGGTGGCCCTGGGTCCGCCGGAGCTGGAGGCATAATTAGGAACTGGCCGGGGCGTTTTATGGTGGTATTAACTGCTGGAGTTGGGAGTTGCACTGCTATTAACGTGGAACCATGGGCAGTTAAAATTGGGTTAGAATTAACTTGGAACAGAGGCGAGAGAACAATAAATTGTTTTCTTAATAGTTTTTCTCTTCTCCCTTCTTACTCCCTGTCTCTTTCTTCTCCTTTTATTTATTTTTATTGTCTATGCAATTTAATTTTTAATTTAACTTATTTTTTTGAATTTTTTGTGCATGCCACGTGACATCTGGCAGGATCTTTTAACTTTAAAGAGAGGAGGGTAGCATTCAAACAATTAGATAATGCAAAGGGTAAAATGGATACAACCACCTGATAATTAATGCTAACATTGGAAAACTCTAATATAGGCTAGCAGAAAAACTGTGGTCGGCCGTAGCAAATATAAACATAACCTCCAACTGTTGGGAAGACACTGGTGCTAAGATAAAACAAGAAAAACATGTGTTTTTTGAGTGATTATTAAATACCTTCGACGTAATACCTTAAAAAAAATATTTTTAAATGTCGAACAAAATTGAATTACGAGTAGCTAGCTATCATAGTCTTAATAATATTTTTCGTGGAATTATCTATACGGTGATCAAGTGATAAAAACTTAAAATTAAAGAGTTTGTTCTTTCTGTGATCTTAGGTTCGAGTCCTTGATTGCTCATATAATGGTCATTAATTTCAAGACTTATGAGATTAATTGTGGTGCGCGCAAGCTAACCCAATACCACGTTAATCTATTAATCTAAAAAAATAATGTTTTTCTTGGAATTTGAGGATGCTTTTCAAAATGTAGGTAATCTGAAACACGTGTCAAGTTGCCAAAGAGCTTCTGATTTTCAATGAAGACAGCGCGTTTTACCGTATTAGGAAAGCATGTTCAGCTCATTAAATCATGCTTTTCTTGTGGGGCAAATATTGGTGTGTTTTAGGTAAAATGATGACATCCGTTTCTTAAAAATATTTTTTTATTAAACATATATTAAAATAATATATTTTTATATTTATTTTTAATATTATTATGTTGAAACCAATGAAAAATATTAAAAAATTAAAAACTTATTTTTTTAGATAAAAAGACTTTCTAAGGCAGAAGTTAACGAGCCTTTAATTTTTTCAAGAGAAAATCAAGGATACAGCATTGCTTATATATGTAATTAACAGCACTATTTAATAAAATTTATCAATTATGAAACTCAATCATCATTTAAAATCGTTAGTGTTCTATCAAATATTTTCAGAAATTAGCATTTAAAATCGTTATTTACTTATATATATATATATATATATATATATATAAAGGTGCTTTATAATTTTCTGAAGGCATCGGAGAAAATGCACCGTCACCTGTGTTTGCGTCCTCCTCCTGTAAAGCAAAAGGCAAAAAGCGCGCACGCGCCCTTCTTTTCCTTTTCTGGCTTGATGTGTTCACATTGCAACCGTTTTATTTTCCGACAAGTTACGTTTTTTTTTTATTTATGCCGTTTCTTCTTCTTCCTCCTTATTTTTTATCATCATTATTATTATTTTCCTTTAATAAGCCCTAGGTTGCGAGTATATCTCTTACAAGTCACAGAGAAATTAAGGAAGGGTTTTAAATTAAGGAGGGCAAAAATGCAACTCCCGTAAAAGAAAAGATCTTTATATAGCAAGATAGTGTTTAAAATTATTATTTTTTATTTAAAAATTTATTAACAAATATTTTTTAAAAAACCTTATTTATAACTATTCAAAAACATTAAAAAAAATCTAAAACAAAAAAATTCAAAACTTTTCAAAAACATTTTTTAACTCATAAAACAAACTCTCTACCATAACTATTTTTTACCACACCTTTTGAATTAATAATTAGTTTCATAAATCATAAGCTATACAAGTGAAATTTAGATCTTTCCTGCCATTGAATCCCGTCCCCACCCTTACTTTAACCGCTGTTCTTTTTTCACAGCAGTTAGGTTAAATTGGTTAAATTCCTCCTTATTGTCAATTTCTATAGTTTTAAAACCACATTTGAATTGTAAAGACTAGCAGGGTTCTAAATAGTGCTATTCATAGTTGAAAGGATGTTTGTACCATTTATCTCAACTCACAAGAATTTATAATTAATTTAAGAAGTTTTTTTACTGAAATGTCAATTAATAAAATCTAGGTAAGTGGATAAAATTTTAATTGTTTTAGATTTTTACAAGAAATATATATCCTGATTTAAACTAGAAATCTGTTATACAAATCTCAAATTCTTTGATATCAAACTACGTCTTCTGAAAACACTCTAAAATTACACATGGTTAATGTTATAGAACAGGGAAAAAAAAAGATTGAAAATGATAAAAAAAAAAAAAAATCTTTAATAAGAAGACAAGAATGAAGGTATAAAATAAAAATGTTTATAAGATATTTTTTTATTGTATTTATATATTTTCAAAACATTAAGTATAAATAACGTGCTCCCTTTGATTTCACTATTTACTTCTTTTTTTTCAACGTCAAAACTCTAGTAACAGGGTACATGGTTCCAATCATTTATTTAAAAGGTGTGTGTGCATATAAGAATACAATCAAACAATTATGAAAAAAAAAATTAATCATTTAAACTTCTTGATTTTATCCTTTGATAGGGTGATTTATTTTCTCAATAATTAGTGATTATATTGATTTGATTGTAACCAATGATCTAGACTTTGCATTGAAGTTGAAATTTAAAATTATAATAATTATTATTTTTATTATTATATATTTTATTTGAAGAATTTTATAATTGAAAGTTTTTTATAATAATATTTTAAAAATAAAAAAATATTTCTTATTTTTTTGTATCTCTTCTTTTAAAAATACAAAAATTCACTTAAAAATTATTTTTAAAAATTTAATATATATATATATATATATATCCGAGTACAGTAACGATACGCTACTAATTTGTCTTCCGCTCCTATATTCACACTGTCCGTTGTTGCGTTACGAAAGAAAATAAAAATTGAATGATTAGAAAGAAGATAATGCATCACCGCTGCAATAAAGCGCGTGGGCTACAGAGAATAAATTGCTGCCATTTTCATTTGTGCAATCAGACCCCTTCCCTATTAATAGCTGGCACTCAAACAGCAACAAGAATCCATTAAAGTAGAACAGAACACAGCCTTTGGTTCTCTTCTCTAGCAGCCGCAGTATATATCCTTTCCACCCCATTAAACACTACCTCTCATCCCCATCTCTCTAATTGCTTTCACAGTTCCATCTTGCTACTATAGACATGAATTCCTCCACCTTATCATCAACCGATAAGCAACAAAATGGTATGGATTTAACTTTCCTTCTTTCTTGTGCCGTGTTACCTCTTGTTGCCCCCCCACACCAGGAATCCCCTGCAGTTATTTGTTTTATTGATAAAGTTGGAGATTGTTTTCTCACGCAGGGAAATTTGTACCAAATGATCATAACGTACTGCAGAAGCATGTCTTCTTCTTTGATAGGAATCAAGATGGCATTGTTTATCCCTGGGAGACGTTTCAAGGTGTGTTCTTGTGTTTTCCTTTTTTTATGTTTATTGTATTTCTCATTCTTGTTTTTGTGTAAAGAAAAGGAAATTTTAATTTATGGGAATCTAAATCTGAATTTGTTAACTAACAGGTTTTCGTTCAATTGGGTGTAGTATCTTGTTATCCACTGCCAGTGCCTTTCTGATCAATATCGCTCTCAGCCAGAAAACTCGCCCTGTATCTCTCTCTCTCTCTCTCTCTCTCTATCTAATTCGATCGTAGAATATAAAAATCTGTGCATACAAAACGAGAAGCTTGTAAAAGTGGTAAATAATCCCATGCCTTGCTTGAAAACAAGATTTTAAAAACTTGGCGATGGACCCAGAGTGGCATCAGTTCAGTCTTGTTTGTTGTAACTCGATGCCCTAACATTCTAGGGATCGGATTTTTCTAATATAATTTGATCCGACACCAAGCCAATGTCTTGAATTTTACGAAAAGGATTGAAGTAACGTTATTGTAAAAGTTTAATGGATGTGTTGTTGTTGTATATATATATATATATATGTTCCCACATGAGTCATCATCCACTAGTTGTTCGTCTCCGCATGAATAATGGCATGGCGGGGCAATGACTACACGTGTCTGTGTTCCCTCCAAGGAGGATGATTGTCCCACGCACTTCACCCTGCATCTTGTTCTGGATGCATGCGAATCTGTGATTTTTATTTTTTTTATTTTTAAAAGATTTATATATCATTTTGGCTATTATTATCGGGTATTCTTGTTGGTATCTTCTTCTTTTTTTTCCCTGCCCAAGACAGCTTTTATTCCGCCATTTCTTTTGGGAAGACTCACTCACCTGTTGGTTTATGATACATGCTTTCTTTTTTCTTTTTCTTTTTCTTTTTTCTTACAGAAAAAATAGTTAAGGTAGTGTTTAGTGATGGGTGAGTTCCGTAATAATGGGATTCAATATTGCTTTTTTTCCCCCCATATTTCATTCTATTCACGAGCTGTATGAAAGAAACAAAATAAAATAGCAATATAAGAAAATAAATAAAATAAAGTTTCTAGGTTTCATTTGGCGCCGGAGGATGTATAATTTGGCTAGAAGGGCACCTTGTTTGTACTTTAAGTAGTCTTTGCATGGAGTGGGCAAACGACGGGGTGGGACCTAGCTATAGATAGATGAGAAAAATTGGAAGCTAAAAAACAAGCACACAAATGGAGTTTGGCAAAACAGTACTCTTGTTGGATCGCAAGCAAAGGTTCCCCTTCTTTTCTTCCTTTTCTCTCAAATATGTTTAGGTCATTGCTTATAAGCAACAGGTAACCTACCCTTAATTTAACTTGCATGTCCTCAATCTCTAAGCTGAGAAATCTAATAATGACAGGAACTTAATCATAAAAGTAGGCCAAGGAAGAAAAAAACATTAATCTCTAGCTAATAACATTTGCAAAATGAGAAACAAATACACATCATCACCTTCTTCTTCTTCTTCTTCTTCTTTTAATTTCGTATTTTTTTGAAATTAGTGAGAAAATAAACCTCAATCCTACCATTGAAAGAACTCCTTTTCTTTTCCTTTTTTTCCTTTTTCTTCTTTTGGAAGAAGTGCAAGATATATAAAATTTGGACAGTCTAAAAATACCAGTGCCATTTATTTAACAACCACTTCACTTATGGTCTGCGAGATTATTTATAGATTAATCAAAGTTTCATGTGTTACAGGGGAAGTTTCCTTCTCTTTTGTTCCCTATCGAGGTTAAGAACATCCAGCGAGCCAAGCATGGGAGTGATTCTGGTGTCTATGACAGTGAAGGAAGGTACATATTATATTCCTGTAGTCACATTTATGTATTCTCTAATTTATCCATTAATTAGTTCTTTTTTTCTCTCCTTTTTCGTTCTCTCTTCTTCTTCTTTTTTAATTAGGAGATGCTGTTTTATGTCCTCTATATTTTCCAGTTAACATCTATCTACCAAATGAAAAGCTAACATATAAGACTTCTGGTTCAGTAGTACAATTAGGGCAACTCTACTAATGGATTAACATGTTTAGTGTTGGCTCTTCTATAAATTTGATTTCATATATTAATTCTTATAAGAGAATTATAGGTTTGTTCCTGCAAAATTTGAAGAAATCTTCAGCAAACATGCACGTTCACATCCAAATTCCTTGACATCAGACGAGCTGATGGGAATGCTCAAGGCTAACAGAGAACCCAAGGACTTCAAAGGATGGTTGGTTTCTGATCTTTTCAATTTCTTAGTATCCAGAAGTAATTAGAAAATTATTTCACGTCTTTCAGAAAAATATGTAAAGGTAATTAAATGCTGGAAAACTGTTGCAGGGTTGCTTCCTACACAGAATGGAAGATCCTGTACACTCTTTGCAAGGATAAGGATGGTTTGCTTCACAAGGATACAATTAGAGCTGTCTATGATGGAAGCTTATTTGAACGCATGGAGAAGGAAAGAGCATCACCCAAAAAGACAGCGTAATTTCACCGCCCTTTATCAATAACGGATGCGTACATTTATTATATCCTCTTTGAATTCTTTTGTTTGTAAAATAAATTTCTTTTGTTTGTAAAATAAATTAAAAAATGATTCGTGACACAAAAAAGGATAGTCACGTTGGGATATTGCCTAATTTATTTATTTTTTAATTAATGCAGCGTTGTGTAAGAAAAGGAATTATATATATATATGCTTGGATCCTGTTCCGCTGGCCATATTACTTCAAGGAAGGTGTTTGATTTCAGAATGTAGATTAGAGATTGTTGAAAGTGTAATTTGATGTTTGCTTTGTTGGGACACACACACACACAGCCCTTCTTTATCATAAAGTAAAAGTAGATACAATTATGCTGAGCTAGGAGATGCTTAAGGCATATATATGGCAATATGCATGCCAACTATCATGAAATTTCTGTAATACGTATCTCAGCAGCCCTGTATATCATTTGGACAGGAAGCACTCTTGGAAAATTCTCCTGGCTGTCATTGGCTAAGTTTGCTGGCTCTGTTTAAGATGCTAGACAATTTCTATATATCCAAAAAAAATAAAATACGGGGGCAAGGGCAGAGACAGAAAATTTTTCTGCCCGGCCTACTAAATAAATATACATAATTTATTTTTTCAAGGCAAATCATTATTATATAAATTTATCAAGTTAATAATAAAATTTCAATCCAAATAAAAAAACATAAAATATATAAAAATAAAGTTTAACATATATAAAACCAAAAAAAAAATAAAAATAAACTACATTATTAAAATTATACCCTTCAATATTTTGTTAAATATAATTTATTTATAATTGAATCTGAATTGATATCTTCAATAAGCTTTTATTTAATGTAAATTATCATATAATTCACTAAGAACTCATCATCTATTTGATTGTGAAGCACAATTTCAACTTATTTAATAACTAAAAATGTTTTTTATGGGAAAAAAAACAAAGTCAAAATAAAATAAATCAACATATTAATCAAATGATAGTGTCCTCACTTATTTGTTTCAACTTATCATACATATAATTTAAAAATGATAAACATATTATAAAAACTTTCATATTTAATCACATCAATTTAATAATGATTTATCTAAGATCTTACATAATACTTCTCTAATTCATTAAAATCTTCAGGATAAATTTTTTTGTCAAACTTGTAAATGATATCAACTTTACTTTAAATGATTTAAAATTGTCATTGGGTTCTAAAACAGAGCTAAGTTACTGAATTTAGAATTTAATTCTTTCAACTAAAAGTTTATTATTGAGTTAAATATATCATAATAATAATTTTGATGAACTATTATTAATTTTTATTGCTAACATGAATGACCTATAATTTTTTTATATGAAGTATTCATACGTTGTATATCAATCTTATATCGTGTGTAAACAAATTGCACACATGCAAGAAGAATATCAAATCAAACATCTCTCACAACCTAAATCAATACTGTAGTAGTCGAGACAAGATTCATTGTATTTAAGATATCAAGATTTTCATTTCAAAGATAAAATTAGTATACAATAAATAAATTCAAAATAAAAAGTTAAAGAGACAGTTTTATACCTTCCAAGAATTAGTTAAATTGAAACTATAAATTTTTCAACAAGTTTGAATTCAATTAACCAAGAAAAAAGCTATATTTATTTTCTTGAAATTTTCCTAGAAGTACTTTCTTCTCCAAACACAATGATAATGAGAAAATCAAGAAGAGAATATTCAACTTATAATGCCTTTCAAACTCGAGAAAACTATAATTTCTTGATTGGGTTAAATTTGTATGTTGAACAGTACCGCATAATAAATGAAAGAAAAAAAATGTTGCTTTTATGAAATTTTATTAGCTATATACTAAGTGTATAGGAAAATATGACATCATCTAACAGAGAGGGGATACAATTTTTTATTTTGACTTCCTGAACCCAGGAAAATTGAGATTTTCCTTTTACAAAAAGAAGGTTGATTTGGTGGAGAAAGCGTAAAAGACAATTGACATAATAGTAAATTAGTTAAAGTTTTTGTATGGTAGCTTATTTTGGTTAAATTTGTTTTATATATAAAATTAGTTAAATTTTAAATTATTTAAATACACCCTTTCTAGTTCGCTATAGTGAATGTGGTGAGAGTGATTTTAAACGTTTTTTTTTTTCTTTTTTAATTTAGAAGTTACTTGATATTCTTTCAAACTAGTTGCTAAATATTAGCTTAAACGAATCATGCATGCAAGGATCAATGACAACAACAAAATAATAATAAAAAAATCTAATTGTTTCTGTAAAGCTATCTTAATCAACTCTCTCAATTAATGAAAAAAGAGAATCTCATGTAAAATTTTTGAATTCTCCAAATGGGTACCTTAAACTATCCAGTCCAACATTAATTTTACATCAATCTAAGCGTATATAAGATGTTGAGAAATAATAAATTATATGTATAAAAAAAAAAAAAAACTGAAAGTGAGACGAATACTGTCCATTCAAAACAAATCTAGCAAACTAATCTCCATGCGGGTCTCCAAGAAACGCAAGAATAGTAACAAGGGGCTTTAGGAAGAGAAGGACTGAAGAAGAAACAAGGTACGAAATTTAGTGGGCAATCCATTATCGGTTGTCGGTGATTGAAAGTTACATGAATTATGAAGAAACAGAGAGAACAGGGAGTTGAGCCTGGAGGAGATGAACTTAGAGCATTAGTTACTTTATTTTTTTCAATGTTCAAAGATGACACTTAGACAATGATGGACTTAATGGTTGAAAATGGGCCAATGCCAGTGAAATATGTCGTGAACTTCGTCTGCTTTCAGTAAATAACTAGATCATTGACCTGTGACGTCAATTTTTTTAATAAAAAAATATATTAAAGTATTATTACCATATTTTCTAATAACAAAAATCATAAACCCAAAATATAATGTATTCTGGATGATATTTTTTAAAAATATTAATACTATAATATATTAAATGATACATTTAAAAAAATATTAATATGACTGTCGCACCTGGATATCATGACAGTTTTAAAAAATTTTATGGAATATTTTGACATCCTGTTTTTTTTTCAAAAATAAATTATTTTAAGGAGTCATTACTTAGTATTATGTTCATTAGAAATCTTAACTGATCAATAGAGATTTTATGATTTGGAACTAATTACGTAAAAGAAAAGATATTATCACTACTTAAACGTTCTACTTAAAATAGACTGCATTACTAGCTTTATCTTAAATTGCTAAATATTTATTAGTTTATGCCATAATAATTTACTTATAATATTCATAACTTTAACGCTAGTAAATAGTCAACATATTTCTAATTTTAATGTTAGTAAATATTACGTAAGTATAAAATAAATTTAGATCAATATTTTTATTTTTTATTCTAGCTTAAATAAATTTATTTTTATGCATGCATATATTTTTTATTTTTTAGTTAAATAAAACAAATTTAAATTTAAATTAGTATTTTTATTCTTAACTCTCTAATCAATTAATAAACCAATAATATAAATTTATATTATTTTTATTTATACATACACATATTTTTTATTTGTGAGCTTGGTTCATATCAGCTTACATGAACTAGGTTAGATCCAGCCACCCGCCCAATCACCAGGCCAATGACTTTGTTGGGCACTGTTTCGAGCATGCGTGAATTATTCACACATGCTTGCAACAGTAATAAGGTAAGTATATTACCTTTGCAAAGTAACAAGCGAAATGAATTTGGAAAGCGGGGAAGAGGAAGAACTTAACTGGTCTGCTGGAGGCGAAGGCAGCCTCTTTCTTGTTCTCTAGCTCTTCTCCGTGTTTGTTCGCCTGGCTTGCTTTCTGATTTAGGAGATGGAGGCGTGATGGATGACCGGCCAAAGCGCTGCTTCGGTTCCTTTGTATGCTCCTGTGTCGTCCTCTTGTTCTTCCTCTGTTTTTTTGTTCTTTTTCATTCGACCCCCTGTTCTTCATGAATTTTTCTAGGTTTTATCTTGTTGGTTCTCGGCTTCCCTGTACGTGTTTCCAGTGTCTCCATTCTCTTGTTTCTGGGTTTCTTCCCTTTTGCTGGTTCTGCCTCTCCAGTCTTTCTCTGTTTTTTTTCCAGTTCTGCCCTCCACCCCTTCTGCCTCTGCTCTGTTCTGCCTTTTATAAGGCCAGAGAGCTTCAAAAACCATTCTCTCCTCGAACGGGATCATAGCAGAGACATGGTCACGTTTTGGATCGGATGCACTGTGGATTTCCCTGTTGAATCGGCTGCCATCCACGCAAAAGGGAAGGGATAATGAACAGTATTGTAAAACGGCACCGTTTGAATATTTTCACTTTGGTACCTAATGTTTTAATCTTAACAATTGGGACCTTAATCAGTCATAAAGAATTTTTAAATTGTGCGCTTGAATAAATTTCAATTGAATCCTGAGTTAAATGGCATTTACACAACAATCCTGGTTTTTAGAACATTCAATTTGGAGTTTCTGGAATATTCAATTGAGTCATACTATAATTTCTTGTAATTTTATCTTTAATGAGCTTCAAACTTTGTTATTTTTTTAATTAAATTCTTGATTTTTTTAATTAATTAAATTAAATTTTAATTAAGTCCATAATCTTATTAATTCTTCAATTAAGTTCTTAATTTCATTAATTAAACTAATTAAAGATTTAATTAAATTTTCAAACTTATTAATTCTTTTATTTCTGACTAATTTACTCTTAAATTTGATAATTTCATCTTTAAATTTTGATTTTGTGTTGTTTTAACATCATTCTTAAATATATTTTTATCTATTTATTTTTTATTATTTATTTAAAAATTAAATTATAACAATGACAATTGAATGATTTTGTTTTTAAATATTAAGATAATAATGTATTATATTGATTTGAGTTAATTTATTAAATTTATTATTTAATTTATGAGAATATAATAACTCTATAAAAAATAAATTAAAATAAATTATAAATATCAATTTATAATCATTCCAATTTCGAAGAAAAAAATATTAAATTTAAAAAAGAAAAAACTAAAGAAGTTCGGCATGCGTGAACCTTGGCAGGGAAATATATTGGCATGCGTGAACTTTGTTTATTTTGTAAATTTATTTTATTAAATATTATAGATAATTACCAAAACCTTCTCATTTTGTACCTTGTTAGGTCACATTGTTAACTGAAAATAAACAAGCTTCACGACATATTTAATTGTTCATGTTTTCATTGCTAACCATGAATGAAAGAACTAAAAAATCAGATAACGGCAGTCAAGACGACTAACCTCATGGAGAGCAGTTGTTAATTCCCAAGGAGCTAAGACACCTTGAAGAACCACTCCATCAGGAAATTGGATCCGAATAATAGTCCTTGTTTATCTCTTCCTGGCAGCTTTTGCTTGCTGTTCTTCGTAAGACTATAGGGATCAAAAGCTGAGATTCTGCCATCTTTTTTTCTCCTCATATCGGCTTCTCTTTTCATCTCTTCAGCAGAGAGGTTGTAAAATGAATCAGGCAGCTCAATTTTTGACGCTACATTTTCAGGGACAGAAAAGACGACCCTTATCTAACAAAACTAAATAGAAGGACCAGAATGCTGTATTTACTACAAAGACGACTTAAAGACATATCTATTCATAGGCAGAGTGCACCAAGCAAATACATACGCAACATGGCTACAGAAAGTGAGACACAACATATCTGATGAACACAATCATAATGAGAAGAAATAGTACATAATTGGCAATAAAAATGCCGTTGGAAGTCAACAAAACCACAAAGATACACGTATTAACCTACCAGTAAGTGACCATGGGAAAACACCAGAAAGCATGTAGGTAAGTCAGTAAACACTTTCAAATAATTGCAAGGTTGCAAGGATTATATATAAGTAGCTCCGCTACAGGAATGAGAAGGGGCATTGAGAGCTACAAACTTATTACTGTTCGTTAATATTCCACTTCAAGTTGTTAGATGAGGAATAGGAACCGTTTAGCTAGATTACGTTTCTAGTCTTTGTTTCGCCCTTCTTCTTCCTTCTATTTTTAGACAATGCAACTGGGACCATACAACAATTTTTCTTTTCTTTTTTGGGTTTGGATTTTTTTGGGATGAAAAACCAAACAGGAGCTTCTCTTTTTATGTATTTCACGTTGTTTTTAATTCTTCGTCTTCGAGCAAAAAATTGTCGGATTCCTCCAAATCTTTCATACCGATATGCTCTCCCCTAAATTGGTTTCGGCTCTTTTCAACTTCTTACTGTCTTTTACTTCTTCGTTTTCTTTTCAAGTTACGAAGTTAATTTTATGAATTTCTTCCGATGATGGAAACATCTAAACCCTCTCTTTATTTGTGAGACATTTGAAGTCTATTGTTAGTTCATAGAAACCCCTATTAAATAATGTGTCATTGTTTATGTGAAATATGAAACCGAAAAAGAAAAGTATCGGCTGCCATTCTAAGAAGTTTTAATTGTAAATCTTTAACCCCGAGGCAACAAATATAAGAGCGGATCTTTTCGTGTGTTTTTTCCCCCTTCAACACGGGTACCTTAGTGATAATTCAACCATGGAGTTCCAGCTTATGGTCAGGGATTACATTAATCAAGCCCATCACCGACCGTGCTTAAATTGGATTTAGGAATATGATAAAGCATCGTAGCTATGATCCATGGATCAACGAGCATAAACCGAGCTTGGTGTAGAAAGGAACTATAGATGTCTATCAATTAGATAAAAACACCCAAGCAAACCTTCAAATTAAAGTTTTCGATTCAACTCCGGGGCAAATAATACAGCACCGTTCTAGCATACTGTGCTTTCATGTGTGTGTGAGCGAGATTGAGGGAGAGAAACATTTTACAGCGAGAACAGCGACAAAGAAATTACCCACTTCACAAGAATGGAGGTAAATCTGTCTGCATTTGATTTCTAAGAGTGAAGAATCGAATACGTGCGGAGGCAACTAAGCTTTGCTATGCATCTATGATTATATTTTTGGGTAGAAAGATTCACACACAAAGGATAGAACGGTGTTACAATACGCAACGGTAAATGTGAAAATAAGGGCAAGATCCGCCAGGAGTGATAGGAATAAAAAGTGTGGATCATGCAAATCAAGTGTGGCACATCGCACTAACCACACACAAAAAGAGAGAGTGCAAGTCACCACACTACACCCTTCATCTGAGGCTCTACACTCAAGAGTCGATATTAAAAACTCAAAGAAGTGAGATTTGGGCAGACAGGATACCATATTGACTAAATGGGAAAAGAGGTGGTGTGGTGGGTAATGCTAGTTCACCTGGTGATGCTTGAATATTAGACTCGGTATGAGATGATAGTGATGCAAGTGGAGGGCTGTTTTGGCCTTGACCAGGTGAATTTCAACATAAGATTGAGAATGCGAACACCATATTAAGAAGATCAACATCGACAAACCCATCACTCAACAGGATGCTAACAATAAATTACCACATTGCCAAACTCCAACACCCACGGATCACAGACGAAACTAACTAAAAATCTACTCCTCTATGCAAAGCAAACCAGCACCGCCTCTTTACAACCTGGTACCAATTCACTCCTCACCCACTCCTCAAACCCACAGCCACTGCCCGCCACCAAGAATTCTCATTGTTTGTCACCAATGCAACTGATGAAACATCAAAGCCAATACGAGTTGCAATGATGACGAAGCTAATAAGAATTCCATGGAGTGTACAAGATGAAGTAAGAGTTGCCTCAGCGCCAGTGACAACTCTCTCCATCAACGTTGAGAAGGAAAGGGGTTTATGCGAGAGTAATTTGAAAAGTTGAGACTTCAGAGGAGACCAAATAAAAGGCCTTGGATCTTATCATCATTTTCCTAGCTGACCATTATTTGTATATTGTGGTGGTTGTCCAGGACAGGATTAAAAGAGACTAATATAGCTACTGCTCATAACTAGTAAAAACTGCCATTAAGTTCACAATCAATCAGAGAGTTGAAATGGCAATTGCATAACTAAATTAGGAAATCCATCCCTACTCTCCTCTCCTACCCTAATATGCTACAGATTCATCCATCCGCATTGATCAGTACAAACTGCCTAGTACAGATCCACATGTTCATCAATTTACAGTTCCACGACTCCCAATCCACATTCTAATCAAAATTGGAAATGAATTCGACATGCAGGAAAAAAAAAACACTATCCTAAAATGATTAAAGAAAAGCCACATATTGATCAGATCTTCACAACCAAAATCAAACAGAGTTACTACCTGAACAAGTAAAAAACTGAATCCGCAAACGAAATTAAAGTCTCATTTAACCGTAATAATTCATGAGAACAGGACACAAAACCCACTTATCTCACTCATCAATCCATCATCATCACTTACTCCTTGTTCTTCAGCCTCTCGACGCGCTGATTCAACTGCTCGATCTTCACAACAAGATGAGTAACCGAGTAAAGCAGCCAGTAGAAAACGAGGGCAACACCTATCAACAAGGCATTCCTCTGGCTCTTCATGATTGATTTCTGGTGTCGGAGGTGCTCGGTGGGAGTACAGGACTCACCCTCGCAGCTCGGCCTTGTCTCGTACTTCCAGTATATGTCCATCAGCAGAAACAGGCAAAACGGCACCACCGACATAAACGGCTTCAGCAGATTACGTGTCACCGCGATCAGTCCCTTGCGCAGTCCGTCAAGACCAGGGATTGTCAAGAGAAGGACCATGATTGCCTCTGCTCCTGCGGCGTAGCCTAGTACCACCCATTCAAGTGCCATTGCTGCTTCGAGATCCTAATAGATCTAAATCTGATTGGGAATTTTGGGTTTGTGCTTTTCTTCGGGATTAAGGAGAACTCGAACTTGGTCAGAGTAAAGGGGCTGTTTTTCTTAAATAGAAGGGAGGCGACGATTATGATATAATGGGAGGATGTACAAGTGACACGTGTGCTTATTGGGGACATCTGGCATTTGCTTCACCGATTTCTTAGGTAAACTCAAGTTAGTCCCCAAAGAAAAAGTAATATGTCAATTAAGTTTGAAAATATACTTTTTCACCAATAAGGTCCCTGATAAATCTATTAACACTCAGTTTCATCCTTACATAAAAAACCATTTCCCCTAAAATTGTGTGTATATTTCCGAATAGGGACGATAATGAGAGGATATTGGTAATATTAGTTCAGTATAAGGATCCGATTGAGAAACTGGTTATTGATTGGGGAATAATACGAAGTTACCTCTTCTTTTCTCGTTTTCGGTTATTGGTTGGGGACTCCGATAGGGCCATCAGCTGATGAACGAGCCCTTTCCTAGTAAAAATGGGCTGGGAATGTAATAAGACAACTCAAGTGACCTTAACTACTTTTGAACTTTGAATCAGAAGTTCATGGCCCATTGGGCTTGCAATGAACCATAAACACCCTTGTTTGGAAATTGAATTGTGTGAAGAAAGGATGTTAAATTACCTTTCTACGCGCCTATTCAACAGCCATTTGTTTTCATAAACCACCCTCCCTCTGTGCAATTAGTTGAGCTGTATCTGTGCACTTAGTTGAGCTGTATCGTTCGTTCATCGTGGAATAATACACAATAAAATCACTATCAGCCTTGCAAACTCCCAATCTATATTAACTAATTGTTTTTGGCTCCTCAACAACGTTGTTACCTCACTTTCCGTGGAAAGGTATATTTAAAAATGCGGTAGTAATTATGTTCTAGAGTATTTTTTTTATTTAAAAATATATTAAAATAAATTGTTTATTTATTTTTAAAAAATTATTTTTGATTTTTATATATCAAAATAATTTAAAAATAAAAAATAATTTTAAACAAAAAATAAATTAAATTTTAAAAAAACATGAATTAAACTGCATTTTTAAATATGCTCTGGTCTTTCCTTGCCCTTCTCTTCCATCCTTTTCATAATCTTGATTGTAATTATTCATGTATCATGTTGATTTTTAAATTAATAAAAAAAATTTTATTACTAATAATATTCTAAAAAATTCAAGTAATTTAAAAATATAATTTTTAGATTGAATAATTAGTTAATTAATTAATTCTAATAATTTTATTTATTTTTTTTAGTCAATTAGTTAATTAATTAATTCTAATAATTGTTTTTTTTTTTATGCCAATGTGGTTTATAGTATATTTTTGGTGTTTAGTAAATTAAGGTGGCTTGTAATTAGTAATTATCAAAAATATTTTTTTACGAGATGAAGAATTTTTCATGGTTAAATAAGTATATTTAAAATAAAAAATAAAAAATTTCTAAAAAAAATGTTTAAATAACTATTGGCGTGCCATGCTTTTCAAATCAATCAACGGAAGCTTCGTTCCCATCTTTCCTCTTTTTAATCTCTTCCACTTTAGGATAGAAAAACAAGGTTCTTGTTACTATTTTGACATACAAGGGTCAATGTTATCCACCTACAGCTTAGTTTGTTACTTGATTAAACCTCATTAAAAAAAGCTTCGTCAAAGGCCAACAATAGGGTTTGCAGATCATAAAGCAATTATTAGTGCATCGCTACATAAACCCAATTATATTATAGGCTCCGCATGTTGACCGCAAAAGCCGAAAATGGGGCTAGAGTAACTAGCCGTGGATGGCTTGCAAATTGCGGAGTTAGGTGTGGAACATTTGGCTAATTATCCTAGTTTAAAACAATACCTTTTTTGGTAACATGGAGCATAGCATTTTGAATTTGATGAACAGCAAGCTTCTTTGGTATGCTTAATCCAAAAGACCAAAAGCCGACTTCTGATAGAACAGATTCACATGATTGTTTAATAAAGAAAGTTTTTGGGGACCAATTGCTGGGACCTTCACAGAGTGGTCTTAAACTATGGTTGGGTTTTTTGCGCCCCCAAGAAAACCGTATGCGTGATGAAATGACAGGAATTTACGAGCAAAATTGTCACAAAATTGACATTTTTGTCAGTTGAGGTGAGGCTGAAAATGACTAACCGTCTTGGATAATTGACAATGTTAATTCTAATATAAATTCGTTTGTAAGTTTATTATTTGAGCTTTTATGATACGCAGTTTCCTGATCTGACCCCCAATACTGCCATCCCTCTCGTCACTTTAGTTGCTTGTTTTATGTTTCCCTTACTTAAAGGTCATCAAGATCACCATGGCTTTCAAAAAAAAAAATAGTGACATGGATTGTAATTGGAGGGTGTGAAAAAGAATCTTAATTTGTATTTGTACCAAGCTTGCTAAAGAGGATTAAAGTATGGTGCCGAGGACTAGATTGGGGACAGCCCCACCTTACAAAAACTCCAAATTTATATAAAGCTGTGGATAATGGAGGAGAGAGAGGGAGACAAGACTCTAAACTATTCATGAAGATCACCCACTAGCCCTGTTATTGATCGTTTAATTCATTTGAATTGTTCCTTTTAATTTACTGATTAGACTCCATTGGTACTTTGATAAGCATAGTTCTATAAGAAAATGCTAAGAATACTGTCTTAATCATTATGATGATAGTCATCACGATATTCTAAATGTTCAAGATAGTATTATTGGGCTCTAGACAAGCTTCAGTTGCCTCATCTCTCAACTTGACGGCAACTGCAAAGTTTTCAGCTAGCAGATAAAAACACAAGTGTATAATATACATACATACATACATATATATATATATATGGCGTGTGATGGCAGTCAAACCAACAGTTTTTAAATAAAATGATTATCCGTTAAACCTCTTTGTTGTTATTAGCACCACGTATTATACCGTTTTGCACACAAACCAGTTTGCTTCTGATTAAAAAAAAAAAGAAAAGGGAAAAGGAAAAGGAACTGTTTGCTTAGTAAACATTATAGGAAATAAAGAGAATTTTAGCAAACAAGCATGATTTATCATGGTTATAAGAGTTGACCTGATCCATAACTCAAGTCATAAAAAAAAATAGTTTGAAGTAAAACTTTACTCTAACCAGACTTTGATTTAGGTTCTCCAAATATAGAACTTGGAGATACGAGGAAAGGAGGAAAGTAAACATTGAATTGAAATAAAATTTAACAAGTTTTGTGAATACAACACTTGCAGTGAAAACAAAGTATAAAGCTCTAATATCTCAGGCACTAACTACAGCGTTGCAAAGAGCACTTTCACAATCACTATTTATACAAAACAATGAGAGAGAGAACTACCACCATTGATGTTATAAGACTGGAGAGGAGAGTGCGGAATCTTTAGGCCTTTTCACCTTATTGCAAACCTTTTTTTCTTCTTCTTTTTCACTTGTTTCAAGGGTACCTGTTTCCATGAACATCTTTCTATTTACCCTTCCAGGCTTCTTTAGAAGAAATTTGAAGGAAACTTCAATTGGAGGGAGGGAGAGAGGGGGGAAATTACCAGAGGGAACCCATTTCCTGGATATCTTTTTCTGCTTAAATTCTATTATTTACAAGCTGCGTATGGAAAAATGATGCGTATATAAGTAAGAGTATTGACAACTACTAAACCTAAAAAAAAAATGAAAAGATTTGACAATGTTTGGAGAATAAAATAAAGAGAACTGCAAAGATGCAAAGAAAGATGACCAAGTAGCTTACCTCTATCTTTTTCACAAACTTTCCTTAAGAAAGAAAGGAACACGATGAGTAATGCAACCGCGGCAATAAGTCCTATCAAAATTGCAAGTGTCTTCTCAACTTCATCATTTCCGTCGTTATCTACAGCATAAAGAAAACACAAACCAAGCGATTAGATATCATCTTCTCTTAGCAATCCTATGTTAATTGCTGTATCTTACTGCCAATGTCAAATTTAAGCCGCCAATGATCATCTCAGTAAAGAGAACCCAATTACATGTGAATAATTTCTGGCCATCATTCTGCATAAGAAGAGAGAATTTACTGATTGCTTCAACTTATTTATCAACAAAGATTGGTTATGCTACTGTAAAGAACATGCCCAGTTCATTTTGGAAATTTTAGAGGTAATAGCTTCTACATTATTTGATTAAAACTCCTCCATATGCTCTGTTCTACCTTTATAGAAACTCAGACACTTGGGACCAAAGACTGTGAACTAAGACCATAATAATTTCATTTGCGTTGGATCCTTTGTTGGTTCCTAGTGAGGCATTAATTCAAAAGTGGGGCTTTAATTTTATCATGGCGTGGTGATTAAGAACTTTAGAGGGCTTTTCCTTGTGTACATGTGCGCAACTACTTTGACAATGGAAATACACAGCAGGATTATGAGATACTTCCCTTTTGGGTTTTGTTCTCCAAATTCATCAAATCTAGAACAGTAATTTCGATATATAATTATGAAATTGATGTCAGACCAGTGATCGAAACAGCTAGTACTGTATATATCACTGCAAGAAAAGAGTATTGAATCAAAATTCAATAAACTTGCTCCAGAATCTCCTCAAACACTGCCACATTCACCTTGAATATGCGTCAAGAAATCGGATCACACCAGCGGGGCAGTTTCATCAAAATAAATTAGCACATCAAACACTCATTAACCAGATAAAAGAGAGAAGCATTTCCAACTTCCCGCTCTCTAACACACCCCAGATAAAAGAGAGAAGCATTTCCAACTCCCCGCTCTCTGTACGCACAAGGGTAACAACCAAAACAAAATAAATACAAGAAAGAAAGGAAATTTAGAAATTACTTTAAAAAAAAACCATCTTGAACAATTTGAAGTTTACCCAAAAAACCATGTAAAACTACAGCATCAATTGTCACAGGCTAGATTTGCCATAAGGTAAATTTCAAGATTATTGAAGATAGGGATTTTCACTAATTACTCATTAATTTAATCCAAAAATTATTCAACCAGAAACAAGAAACCTTAAACCACCACCCTGCCGGGTGGCGCAACAGCTTACCATGTCCATTTCCGCCGTTGGAGGACGCCCCAGCTTTGGAAAACCGCACATAACACTTGGCCAAGTACATGTCCCCCCAAACAGCGGGCCCGCAGACTGTTTTCAGCCGTCCGATCGCCGCAGACAAACAATCCTGACACTCGCTCGCACTCAAATCTTGGACACACTGCGCCACAGAAGAAACATCCCCGGACCCACCAACTCTGAAAGGCCTGTAGGACCCATCACTAGTCCCCAAGTAACCCAACACCACATCACGGCTGTTCAATGCATCAGAATCATACCCGATCATCGGCCCACATTTATGCAACACCTCCGTCTTGTCTTCCACTCCAAGAAACGTCGTGTTATCATACTTTACAAAACACCCTTCAAGCTGCAAGGCGCCACCACTCGAGTCAGGGCAAAGAGTGCCGAGCTGACTCACTGCACGAGCTACACAGCTAGCACAGTCACCATTGGAGAGGTCTCCTCGGCATTGGAAGAGACCGTAAAGAGTGTCCTGTGGTGTGGGGGACTTGACAGTGAAGTTATTGTAGGTGGTGAACGTGGCTGAGCTAACAAGGGATGTGAGTAGCAAGTTAACGTTGGACTCGTAAGGAGAACCTGGTGTGTATTTTAGCTGTGAACACCCACCGAAGACAAAAGAGTCTGTAGAGGAAGTAGCTGGGGTTGTAAGGACTGTGATTGTGAGAAGGGAAATAAGAGTAGTGATCGTTAATATTCTAGACATGTTTTCGAGCTCTTTGTTCCTTGAAAGAAGAGAGAAGGAGAGAGAAGGCAGTAATGATCCTTGAGGGCTGTGAATATATGCAAAACTGATTGTTGGCAACTATGGTAATGTTTCTGACAGAAAGAGAGGGGATAGGGGGATTTGTTGCTTGGAGGAGAATTTGCGTAAGAGAAGGGCTTTCTTTCTTCCTTCGCATATGCAGCATACCGGTATATATGATTGTAGCTTGATTATTATCTGCATTTTATTATTTATTTTTTTTCAAATTTCCCAAAAAAAAACCGTACTCATTTATTTACAGTACTGGGTGGGTAGAGAAGAAAATGGCTGATTATTTTGCTAATATATATACAAGCTGCATCTTTTGATTTGAGATTTCGAGGAGCTTTATGACCAGTTCGATAATGCGGTCTCAGTGCGTCTGAAAATGTCTTGTAAAATAGTTTTTAGATTATTTTGATATAAATGAAAAGTATTTAAAAAGATAATTTACTATATTTAACACTTTTATATAAAAACATGTGGACTGTAATAATAAACATATATTTAGTCCAAGCCTTTAATTACGTGCTCTATGAGTATTTAGGATTGGATTACTCTCGAGTCAGGAACAACATAACTTATCATATCATGTAAATTGAATCAATGGTTAGAATTTCATCATAGAAAAAACTAATTACCAATTTAAAAAAACTTTAAAAACTCGTTAATTTGGTAAATGAAATCAATAGTCTAAATTTATCTTAATATGGTAGATAATGTTCTCCATGGTCTAAGGAGAGTCAATCTCACTATGTAAATACTTCTTCTTTTTTAATACCAATTGTTTTTTTTTTTTGTTCTTTCTAGAAAACAATGACTTTTAATAAAAATTATCTCACTGTGTAGAAACTTGTATTGACGTGTGTTGTGGTTATAACTAGCGGGCCGGTGATGGTTGACTACAGCAGGCATCAAAAGGGGGGCAGACCTTGATTTCCGACAAGGCTACAGCTACGACTATGAATAATTTGTGTGGAAAAAAATGTATATAAATATCACTTTTTATTTTTTATTTTTTATGGGAATCAATAGCTTGATTTCTTATCTTCGCTCATCGCAATGTAACTAAACAGCCCGGGTAAGAGGGTATACCAAAAGGAAATGAGCTCGAAGTGTCTCCGTAATTTTTTATTTTACTGCTAAAAAATTAATAAATATAAAAAAATATTTTTATTAATAAATCTAAAAATTGTTGTAGTTTTATTTATTTATTTATTTATTTAAGAAAGACTTGATAATATTTGTAGTTCTTGGCCTTTGATTTTTTTTATTTCAGTGTCTCTATTTTGTCTTTTACTTTTTATATGCATGACTTTTCAATTTTTTTCTAATTTAATATTTTCATTAAATTCAATTTATTTTATATTAACATGGTTGTTAGCTGGATACATTTATGCTATGTATGTGTGAGCTTTTAGTTTGTTTCTAACTAGGTGTTTTTACATCTAAGTATCTGTATTTTTATGTTTTTTATTTGAGTGTTTATACTTTCATTAAAAGTCTTTATTTTAGAAGAAAGATAATTTGATTGATACTAATTTTTATAAGCAGGGACACTGAAATAGAGAAATTAAAAAGTTCATGAAAATGTCGTTAACTCTTTTAAAAATGACTCAAAATTAACAATTTCACTTAACCTAAGTTTTCCCTTGTCTTCTTATAATGAGGTGCTTGATAAACATGTCAATTATTAAAAAAATTCAGCTGAACAAAAATTTATTGAGTCTTCAAATATCTTACTTGCAGTGAAAATAATAAAATAAAAAATTTTATAATCTTGTTAAATAAATTTAGAATTTTTTAAAGATTTATTATTTAAAAATATTATCTTTTCAAGTTTTGAATAATTATTTAAAAATTAAATTGTTATAAATTATAAATTATTTAATTATTCAAGAGAAAGAGCATGGAAAAGGAAGAGAAGTGGGAGAGGTGTGGTCAGTTTTTTTATTAAAAAAAAAAAAACTTTTCTTCCATGTGCTCCTTTGCTACTTGCTTTGTATTACGTTGACATGTTCATAGAATCCAGGATCATATTTAATACAATACCAAGTTGACTGCATGATTTATTTAGTTAATTCTGATAAAAAAAAAGTTAATAAAAAATATATTAAAAATTTCATCATTGTATATAGATAAAATTAGTTTAATTAAAAATGCAAGAATAAAAAAAAAAAGTCAACTTAAAAAATAAACTTATTTAACATATGGGCACCTAGAACATGGATTAAACTCAAATAAATTGAACGGTTCAAAATAATTAAACCCAATTGAAGAGCCTTAACTAACACGGGGGGACCCGTGTGGGAATAATTGAACGGTTCAAAATGTACAACTATTATCGAAGTAAGATCCAATTTGGTTATTTCCTGAACTATATATCAAATAAACTTCAGCCAAGCATTAAAGTAGGAAGTTTCCCCCTAGTAATTGAAGGGATAATTAGCAGAGTGGTGGAAGCTTCTATTCATTGTAATGGTAATTAATATCAATGACTAATAGCTCTTTACTGGTAGACTAGGAAAGGGAACACGTCACCGAGGACACCAACCATGACATGGGACTTGCCTAAAGAAAACGACAGTAGCTTTTTAGTTAGAGATGCTAGGAATATTATTTTTTTTAAAACTATTTTTTTATAAATATATTAAAATAATATAAATTTTTATTTTTTAAAAATTATTTTTGATGTTAGAATGTTAAAATGATTTAAAAATATAAAAAAGTTAATCTTTAAAAAAAATTAAATTTTACCTAACTTCATCTGGAATGAAATACCAAAGGTGGACTTACTGTACCACTTGGTTCATTTCTTGTTTTCATAATTAAATGAAGCAGCTGTTAAGTAAACGAAGCAGTTGTTGAGTGAAATATTGTTTAAAATAAATTTTTTTAAAAAAAGCGACTGAATATAGTTTGCGGTCAACAATGACTTGGAAAATAGATCCCTTCCCCTGCCAATCAGGCGGGCGCCCTTCTGTTGATCATCTACACAGTACAAGTCACAAGGTGGACCTTCTTTTATTGCTTACAACTGTAAAATGAGAGCTTTTTAATACCTTACATGACGGGCAAGAGGCTGAGCCTTCTTTTTTTTCTTTTCTTCTTTGGTATTTGACATTCAATCTATACAAAGTATGTATGAAACCATGATGTGAAAGAAGATCTTATCAGTCTAAGCTTTTTCTAATATTTCGTTCACCTAATTCTGCTGACCCTCGAACTGAAGGGCGTTGGTTGAGCCCGCAAGCTATAATAGGGGTCTGAAAGAAAGGGCTCCCTTAAAAAGTGGACTTCGAATTTAAAACTTCAAAGGGAGGCGATTTCAATGGATTGGCTTGTTCAAAGTTCATTCTTCTTGTTTCAAACGCCCCTCGAATCTTAGTTGTGATGCGACTATATTTTGCTTCTCGACTGGGTGGTCAGAGGTTTTTATATATCATCTGTGCTATAATGAAAATTAAAATACCCTTGACCACTTCCCGATCAGTAAATTAGTTCTTTCTTGTATATTTTGTATTGTCTTCGTGTATTTGAATTATGAGCAGGGTTTTAATTTCTATATAAAGTCTGTGTAAAATTCAGACAAGTTCTCATAAGCTGCTTTCAGTTCAATGAGCGTGTCGAAAAAGCTAAGATTCTATTTCAATTTTCGTTTGCTCTGGAATATTAGCACCGTTCGTATACTTGTAAATGCGTTGAAAAAGTTAAGTTTTAAATTTATTTTTTAAAAATTAATAATTAATAATTTGAGTTTTATACAATTTTTTATTATTAAAAACTTACGTAGTTATTAATTTTAAAATTTATAAAATTAATTAAAATATATCTAAATTACTCAAATATTCACATTAATAAAAAAAAAATAGTTGATACGACATATGAAAGTTCAGGGAAGATTCGCCCTCCTCTTTCGTTGCCAAGGCGTGCACGCTGGCTCCATTCAAGTCCAGTACCCTATAAATCACGGGTCAACAATATCGAAGACCAATAATTGGGGATTATTAGAGTGGTGCATGGTTAATTATATTCGACGAGTTTTGATTGGTCGGATTACTTTATTAGTGGTATGTTTAAGGAGGTCTCTTTATTATATGTTTCTTTTATATTCAAGTCAATTGACTTGAAAGACAGTTTAAACTAATGATATATCAGAAGTATGATACGTGTCTAATATGACTGAAAACAACAATATGATGTATTAAAATTCACTCTTCTTCGCTTTTTAAATTTTCAATAAAAGGATAAAATATTAAAATCATTTTTTCTCAGTTTTTTCTGGATTTTTTTTATAATCTGTAATCTGTTAGGTATATGTTTATTTATTCACCACAGCTAAAGCTCTCTTTCATTTTATTTTTCTTATTAATTCATTTTTAAAAAAAAAAGTGTATATTTTTTCGCACTTCATAAATGAGATATAAAATTATTAATTTATGGATAAACATACTTGATTCAATTTAGGAATTTATTTATTTATTTTTTCATGAAATTCTCGATTTTATGATTTTTATATGAAATTTATTTTTTCCTAATGTTTTTCTTTGGCTTTTGAAAATAAAATAAAAACTCATGTTGGTTCTCTTTCATTTTATTTTTCTTATTAATTTATTTTTAAAAAAAGTGTATATTTTTTCGTACTTCATATATGAGATATAAAATTATTAATTTATGGATAAACATACTTGATTCAATTTAGGAATTTATTTATTTATTTTTTCATGAAATTCTCGATTTTATGATTTTTATATGAAATTTATTTTTTCCTAATGTTTTTCTTTGGCTTTTGAAAATAAAATAAAAACTCATGTTGGTAAATAAAAAATAGTAAAAATGAAAAAAAAATCAGGCATAAATTAATAAAAACTGACAATTTCTTTAAATATTTTCTTCTTTTTTGTCTTTTTAAAATAAACTCAAAAATTAATTTCAAGCAATTAAAAAAATATTCAAGATTTCTATTCCTTTTGGACATTTACCGTGCTCTCAATCAGGCCGGCTCCAATACTAATATAAGATGTAGTAGATGAACCTCATTAATCATATTAATAACGAAGAGACCCAGCTAATATCATTAATCATATTAATAACGAAGAGACCCTCTACATTTGGGTTCGAATTTTATGTATGTCATCTCCGCGGTGTCTTACCTGCTTATTGGGCTTGTAGGATGTTCAGTGGGCTGTGAGGATCAGTCGTGGTGCGCGTAAGCTGGCCCGGACACCCCATATAAATCAAA